CCCCCCCCCCAGGACCCCCCTAGCTACGCCCATGTTAATACTTCGATTGTATCTCGCAAAAAGGAACCAAGAGCATTCCAGTGTCGCTAAGATTGTGCAACTTTTTTTACCTTGCAAACATAAACGATCATCTAAACTAGTTTCACCTCTACTCCCAATAAACTATGAATCCAAGACGAAAATTACCGACGTAAAGTTTACTTTTTGCAAAGAATGTACCGAAGTTGCACAATCCCAGCAACACTGAAATGCTCTTAGTTCCTTTTTGCAAAATGCAATCCAATTGGTTGTTGCTGCAAGAAAATAGTTTCCTACAACCTGCTATACAATGCTCCAGTGACCACATAAGTTGGCCCGAGCACAAGCTTTTCGGAAATAAAGCCTTTTCCCTTCCAGGTTTTTCACTTAGTATCCGCCCGAGTTTCGCATATCATCCGTTTCTCCTCATCGCAGCTTTCATCAAATCGCAATTGCCCGGAAACTAGGACCGCACATCTTATCTGATAAAATCGTTCGCCCTTTAGACCAATTTTGAGGGATTAGGCTCGACTAGTCGATGAGTCAATTGTTATGGTCTAATTTCATCATGTGAACGCAGAAGAAAAACAGGGTAAAAAAAACACTAATACGTGATCAATTTTCAAGGACACCTCTGTAATTTCTCTTACAATTTTAAATCGATTAAAACGCGTAATATCCAAAATCTAAGCTCAGATTCAGATTTCTCGTGAAAAACTGATGCGATTTCATGTATCATTTGTTAGAATAGCGTGAAGGAAAGATGTTTAATAACGTATAAAAACACTAATGTGTGATCAATTTTCAAGGACAATTCTGTAATTTCTCTTACGATTTTAAATAGGTTAAAACGCGTAATATCCAAAATCTAAGCTCAGATTCGGATTCCTCGTAAAAAATTGATGAGATTTCATGTATCATATGTTAGAATAACGTGAAGGAAAAAGGTTTAAAGACGCGTATAGATTCTGTCGTACCTCCCTTTTGAACTACGCCGCCGCCTGTCGCCCGAGTGAAACCGAACGGGGAGGCGCCACTAAGCGCCGGCTAAGCGTTCGGTTTCGTCCCGAGGAATTTCTCACGATAAATTCTTATTCTTCCTCCTCCGCTGACCCACTGAGCACTACCCATGTTGCCACGTTGCATTCATATGCTCGAATCAGTACGTCTGCGTTACGTCTCTTTCCTTCACGCTGTGCTCGGGTATGATAAATGAAATTGCATCGATTTTTAACGAGGAATCCGAATCTGACCTTCGATTTTGGGTATCACGCCTCTTAAGTCAAATTTTTTAAATTCAAAAGTCAGAAATGAAGGACATAGCCTAAAATGCCATTGCGGCTCCTGTTCGATGGATTTTTCTGAAATCCGGTGTCAGGGTATGATAAATGAAATCGCATCGATTTTTTACGAGAAATCCGAATCTGAGCTTCGATTTTGGGTATCACGCGTTTTAAATCAAAATTCAAAAAATTCCAAATTCGAAAATCCGAAATGACTAAAGTGGCTTAAAATGCTATCTCGGCTCCTGTTTGATGGAATTTTCTTAAAATAGATGTCAGAAGGTATTTTTCGACGGGAAACTCGAATTTTTAGTCAATTTTTTAAAATCCTCAAATCCAAGATGGCGGACGTGGGCTAAAATGCTATCTCGGTTTCTGTTTGTTCGATTCTTATGAAACGCGGTGTCACAGGGTATTTGTCAACGGGTAACTCGAATTTTTAGTCAATATTTAAAAATTCTCAAATCCAAGATGGCGGACGGGGCCTAAAATGCTATGTCGGCTCATGTTCGATGGATTTTTCTGCATCTCGGTGTCTGAGGGTCAGGGGCGTAGCTAGGAAATTTCTCTGGGGGGGG